CCCCCTCCCAGCCCCGCTTGGAGGGACAGTCACTACACTCCACGGCAGGGCAGGACCCTGCCAGCCCTGTCCCAAGCAGCTACAGCTCTGCATTGCACTCATCCATCCATTGCACATACATTAAATAAATGCACTTAGTGGAGAAGGGCAGAGGGTCCCCCTGGGGTCCTCCCTCTTCTCCTGGGTTATAATTCAAGTGTTTAAATGTGGCGCTGGGCGAGTATCACGTTCTGCTAGGGAAGCTATCGCCCGCCCGCGGGGCTGTGGCTCTCACACACACCTATTGCTAAGGTAAAGCCCAGCCTGGGGTCCCCCCAGGCCCGGCTGGCAGCAGAGCAGCCCCCATGCCCGTGGTGCCCCCTGGTAACCAGGGCTTTCCACTCACTTCTTCCCTGTTGCGGGCGCCTGCTCTGAGGCTGTTGCTGGAGGGGACCTCGGCCTTGGGGGGGTCCTTACTGGCTTTGGGCTCATCTTTGGGTTTCGCTTTAGCTTTGGGTTCTTCCACCTTTTTGGGCTCCTCTACCTTCTTCTTGGGCTCTTCCACCTTTTCCTTCTTGGGCTCCTCCGCCTTCTCCTTCTTGGGCTCCTCCGCCTTCTCCTTCTTGGGCTCCTCCGCCTTCTCCTTCTTGGGCTCCTCCGCCTTCTCCTTCTTGGGCTCCTCCGCCTTCTCCTTCTTGGGCTCCTCCGCCTTCTCCTTCTTGGGCTCCTCCGCCTTCTCCTTCTTGGGCTCCTCCGCCTTCTCCTTCTTGGGCTCCTCCGCCTTCTCCTTCTTGGGCTCCTCCGCCTTCTCCTTCTTGGGCTCCTCCGCCTTCTCCTTCTTGGGCTCCTCCGCCTTCTCCTTCTTGGGCTCCTCCGCCTTCTCCTTCTTGGGCTCCTCCGCCTTCTCCTTCTTGGGCTCCTCCGCCTTCTCCTTCTTGGGCTCCTCCGCCTTCTCCTTGACCTTTGGTTTCTCAGGCTCCTTGGCAGCTGCTTTGCTGACCTCCTGCTGTGGTTTGGGTGGAGTCTCCTTCTCAGGTTTCCCTTCTTCAGCAGGTTTGGGGCCTGGCTTGGTGGTCTCCTTTGCCTGTGGTGCTGGAGGCTCTGGCACCGCAGTCACCTTCTCTTTGGGTTTCTCCTCTGCCTTGGCTGGGACATCCTTCTTGGGAGCTTCCTCCTTCCTGCTCTCTTCAGCTGCAGGCTTGGAAGGAGCCTTCACCTCCTTGGGCTCCTCCTTCACGGGGGCTTTTGGCTCCTTCGGAGGGATGGGGCTTGGCTCCTTGGCTGGGGCCACTTCCTTCTGAGGAGATTTGGCCTCTTCCTTTGCAGGAGATTTGACTTTCTCAGGGGACTTCACAGTTGGGGTCTTGGCCTCCTCCTTTGAAGGGGTTGGGGGTTTCTCTGGGGATTTCACAGCTGGGGTCTTGGCCTCCTCTTTAGAGGGAGTTGGGGGTTTGGCTTCCTCTTTTGAAGGAGTTGCAGGTGTCTCTGGGGACTTCACAGCTGGGCTCTTGGCCTCTTCTTTCGAGGGGGCTGAAGGTTTCTCTGGGGATTTGACAGTTGGGGTCTTGGCCTCCTCCTTTGAAGGGGTTGCAGGTTTCTCTGGGGACTTCACAGTTGGGGTCTTGGCCTCCTCCTTTGAAGGGGTTGCAGGTTTTTCTGGTGACTTCACAGCTGGGCTCTTAACCTCCTCCTTTGAGGGGGTTGGTGGCTCTTCAGGGGACTTGATGGCTGGTGACTTGGCCTCCTCTTTTGAAGGGGACTCAGTTTTCTCTGGAGACTTGGCCTCCTCCTTTGCAGGAGACTCTGCCTTTTCTTCACCCTCTTCTTCAGCTTTCTCCTCTTCTTCAGCCTCTTTCTCCTCCTCAGCCTCTTTCTCCTCCTCAGCCTCCTCCTCCTCCTCCTCCTCTGTGACCTCCTCAGTTACCTGGATTTCCTCTGTCTGCTCCTCCACAATCACTGTTTCCTTCTCAGATTTTTCCACTACTCTGATCTTCTCCTCACTCTTCACTTTGATGTTGGTGGTGATGCTGGGAGCTTTGGGGATCACCTCGGGGTAGGATAGCATCCCAATGCCAGTCTCGAGCCGATATTCCTCCCCTTCCAAGAGCTTTCTGCCAGAAAGAGAGCAGAGTAGGGCTGTCAGTGATGGTTTCTCATCTCTGCCTGTGACCAGGAGCTTCATCTCCCTCCTTGCCCTGTCCTGGCTCACCCTCCTGCTCCTATGCCCTGGGCTGGGAAGATTCCCTCACCCTTCCCTCCACATGCCATGTGCAAGGCTGTGTCACCCAATTGTATGTTGCCCACCATGGTCTTGGAGGGTGAGTGGTCTCTTTCTCACAAGAAGAGCCCAAATGGTAAGGAGGGACCTTGAGCAGACCTGGTTGTGGCCTCCCACCCTCTCCTTGCCCACCCCATACCTGTAGGCAGCAATTTCGATGTCCAGGGCCATTTTGACGTTGAGCAGATCCTGGTACTCCCGGAGCTGAGCTGCCATCTCCCACTTGGTGCTCCTCAGCTCGCTGTCAAGCTGTTGGATGGTTTCCTGTGGGTACACAGAGCAACTGGTGACATGGGGAGGGGCAGTCCCCAGCAGCAGGAGAACACAGAGCACCGGAGTGCCCTCACAGAGGGGTCTGCAGTCACCTCCCCCTGCAGAGACAGAAGGAAGGGGACACACCCAGAGGCCATTCCAGGGTCTCTTGGGGGACCCGGCAGGAGCCCTGCATCCCCTCAGCAAGGAGCTGCACTGCTGCCAGCTGAGTCTCTGGACCCCTCCAGCAGGAACAAGCTGTGGGAATGCTTCTAGAACTTGGGTGAGTCCAGTGGCCACTATGCCCCAGCCTGAGGCTGATGGGGATGGAACACTGGGGACAGCATTTCAGTCCAAGGCCCCCACCCAATACAGCCCTCATTTCTCAGCTTTGGGACACAGGAGGTGACCTGAGCCCTGGGCACACTTCTGTCTCATTTGTGACCAACATCATGGGCCAGCTCAGAGCCAGGCAGGGTCATGGGGCAGCTCCATAGTGGGTGAGGGACACAACAGCCTGGACACCACCTCAGGCTCGGGGTACCTGATCCCTGAGGCTGAGGAAGGCCAATGCCAGGCACAACCCTGAGCATTTGCCACAGCTCATCACATCTCCGAAGCCAAACCCCCAGTGCTGCTCCTCCCCAGCAGCTGGCTGGTCCCTCCCCAGCAGACACTGCCTGGGACACTGCCCACTGCGCCACGTTACCTGGTAGGACAGGACATCTGCATGGTGGCGCTCCTCTGAGTCCTGCCTCTGCCTCTCCAGAGACTCCTGGGTCCCTCTGAGGGCTTCCAGCTCGGTGGTCTTGGCCTGGAGCTGCCGGCGGTACTCGGAGATCTCCTCCTGGGCCAAGCGGATGGCGTCCGTGTTCACCTTGGCCACCTCCGAGAGCTTGTCCAGCCTCACTGCAACAGGGCAAAGGGGAAGCTGCAGGGTGGGAGGCTGCAGTCTCCCCTTCTTGGAGAACCTCAAATCCTTCCATACCACATGTCCCTGTGTGTGTGTCCTGTGCAGAACCAGCCCAGGCTCCCTGGGCACTCTGTCCCCACTGCTCGCTCTGTCTGTGCCAGGGGGTGAAGGAGGACAGGCAGGACAAGCTGGGTGGGTGTTTTTGGCATCTTGGACATCACCCAGTGCAGACCCTCACTGTTGACCCCCCACTCC